CTCACTCTGGGGTCCAAGCCTGCCGCTTCATGGGTCGAGTCCAGGCCAGAATGGGCTCTAAGGCCTAGCCTGGAGCGACCACAGTGAGTCCCTACCCCCAGCCAGACCCTAACTCCACACTCCGTTCTCAGAAAGGAGAGGCTGACGGGTTCCAGCCCTGGGCAGGCCCCAGCCCCGCAATGTGACCCTGACCTAGACCAGCCCTTCCCATCTCCTGGCCTCGGTTTTCCTATCTGTCGGATGGGGCGGGTGGGAACTAAATGGCCTCGAAGGTCCCTCGGGCTCTAGATCTCCAGGACGCAGGCTCCTAACCCTTCTTCGGCCAGAGGAAACCCCCATCTCGCACACTCCAAGGTGAACTACCCTAAATGGCTGAATCCGGGGATCCACGGCCCAGTCTCGTTCGGGAGTTGGGCGGACATGGGTGTTCACTGACGTGGAGGGACCCCGGGACCACTAGGGGAATCGAGGGGCCCCGGCCCTCACCGGGCTCCAGCGGATCAGGTGGTCTGTGCCTGGGTCGCCCACCAGCGCCCATAGCTTGCCAAGAAAGGCAGGCACGGGGCTGGGTCCTGGCTCCGTGGGCAGCACTGCTGGCGCTTCCTGCATGGTGCAGTCTCGGCCCGGCTCAGCGCTCGGGCCTGGCCGGGGCGGGCTGGTCAAAGCCACGGAAAGTGCTGCGTTTGCCGCCCGCTCCGCCCTACTCCGCCCAGGGGCGCCGGGTCAGGCGGGGGCCACGTGCGAGCCCGCGGGGCGGGGCTCGGACAGCTGCCGAGGCTCCAGCAGACAGAAAGGGCTGGCTGGATGGGATGTGTGAAGTGGAGTGGAGAGGTAGTGTGGGGTGGGGTGAGGTGGGAGATGGATTCGAGTTCCACCCTTCTCAGTCCCTCTGTTTCCTTCTTTGTTCTACGGGAGAAATCGCTGGTGCGCGACCTGGTGTGGGCTGGGCAAGTCCTAGAAGGCGATGGCCAGAGACACAGTGAAGCCCCAGGCAGGGCAAGCAGATAGGATAGGGTGAGGCGGGGAAGCACGCCCCCGCCCGCCGAACCCCAGGACATAGTCAATCCTAGGGTGCGAGTGCCTCGCCCCTGACCCCCACACCCTTGTCAGACCGGAGGACCTTGAGGAAACCCCACCTCTGCCGGGATGGCTCCTCCGGCCTCCGTGCGTTCCCCGCCCTCCCCTTTCAGATCCGATCCGCCTTTCACAGGACGCAGAGACGCTGCAGGATTTGTTTATTTCACATTCACCCCTGAGGCCCGGCCCGCGCCGGGGCCGCGGAGCTGCAGAGCCCGCAGAGGGGTGGAGGCTAGCGGGGGCAGTGTGTCCAGGACCGAGCGGGCGGGACTTCTGCAGAGGGTGAGAGCAGTGAGTGGACTCAGGGCTCCCAGGAATGGTCCCGATACCATCCCACAGTTCCCACTCCGTAGAGACCCGGGGGGCAACAATCCCGAAGGAAGGCGCTAGCAGTCAGGACGCACCTGGACACCCCAGTCCCAGCTCAGAGCGCTTACGTTCGCGGGAACGGGGGGAGAAGTCGCCCAATCACGCCACTGGCGTGGGCCGCCAAGGATAAGGCTCGCGCGTGAGCTTGAGGGTATAGGTGCGCAGGCGCGGGCAGTGCATGCGGAAGGCGTTCAACACGGAGGGGCTCACCACGCAGAAGCAGTGCACCTCGCGCAAGCCCGCGCAGCGCGCCGCCAGCTCCTCCAGCGCGGCATTTAGCCTGGCTGAAGCGGCTGCGCACACCTCGAGCGCGCGCAGTGTTGCGGCGTAGTGGTGCGCCGCAAAGCGCACTGGGCCTACGGTGTCGCCTGAGAGGTTGAGGCGTAGCGCAGCCACGGGGACCGCTGGCTGCAGGACGCGCGTCACGCTCTCGGCTGGCAGCGCGGGCTCCAGCTCCAGCTCCACGGCCAGCCCAGGGTGGCGGCGGCGCAACGCAGCCCAGGCTTCGTTGGGCAGGGGGGAAGCGCGCGCATCTTCGGGGCAAGCGCAGCGCAGAGTCAGGAGCACGAAAGGTGAGCGGTCTGGTGCGGCCAGCACTTCGAGGGTGGCATGAGACAGACTGGCTAGGTGCAGGCCGAGAGCGCGCAGGCGCGGGCAGGCCCCCAGTAGTTCGAGCACTGATCCGGGACCCACGCTGTCCACTAGGGTACTGTTATCCAGAAAAAGGCTGTGGAGCTCGGGACAGCTGCGCGCCGCCCGCAGCACCAGCGCGTCGTCCAGTGTGAAGGGCAAGCGCCGCAGGTCGAGGTGGCGCAGCTCGCGGGCCGCCCCGCATACTGCGTGCACAGCCTCCAGGACGTCGTGGCCCGAGTCGAAGAGCGGCTTTTCTCCGCGGCACTCCAGGCAGAGGCCTCGCAGCCCCAGGGCACGGCCCGCCAGAGCCATCAGCAGTTCGATGGCTGCCCGGCGACTCGGCTCCCTCGATGGCTCAAATTCCAGCCGTAGGTTGTGAACGTGGTCAAGACAGGCGGACAAATTAGGTGGCAGCATGCCTTCCAGCTCACATTCGCAACTTGGGTTGGAGTCGTGCAGAAAAGGCCTCGGCTGAGTCCCCGAGACCAGGGGAGAAGCCTCTACCTACCCCTTAGCTGGGTTTCCAGCTGCCATCCCACTTCCTGCCTCCCTCCCCACCTCTCTGTCCAGACCTCACCTGTTGCCCCAAAGGAGGGAATTCCCATCCTATCCTTTTAGAAGAGTTTAGTGGCATCTGCCACAGGTTCAAACCCGGGTATGGAGAACCAATGATATTTTAGGAACTGGACTTTCTCAGCTGTCTCTAAGGTGTCTCGGAGTGGCCTCTGGACTGCTAGGTTGGAATTCCGCCTTTGCCATTCCCTAGCTGAGTGATCCGTGGGAAGTGATTAAGCCTCTGCCTCAGTTTCCTATCTGGGCAATGGAGGTAATGATAATACCGATCTACCACACAAGGTTTTCGTAAGGATTAAATTAGTTAATATGGCCGGGCGCGGTGGCTCAAGCCTGTAATCCCAGCACTTTGGGAGGCCGAGGCGGGTGGATCACGAGGTCAAGAGATCGAGACCATCCTGGTCAACATGGTGAA